TCACTTATTTTGAATATTTATGTCTTACTATTCCAGTATTAAACATTCATTAGAATTTTAAAGTTAATTGATCTTTGAGAATGTGTTCCTGGATTATTATATTATTATTACCATTATATTACTTGAAAGTGGTCGCAAAACAACAATATTATTGTTTATGGCAATAATTTCTGGGACAATTAACTGTCCAACAACATTTGTTATCGTGACAGGAAAAGTCACAGGCCAACAAAAAATATTTCTACAAACTAAAATCACCAAAATGTTGCAACTAAAGTAATCAGATCATATATCCAGAACTTCAATGCTTTTTTCTTGTTAAATAAAAGTCGTCCAGTTTGCTTATTATTTGATGAAAGCTGAAAAAATATTTAATATTTTCTCAGCCATAAAAACAGGATCTAGTTCATTCTTCATTTGAAAACACTTCCTGTATTCAGCCACGTTTTAATACAGCAACTAAAGACTGTAGACTTTCAGAGGCCCCTTAGCGCCCTCTGGAGGCCGCAGCTTGAAAAACACTGCAGCCTAAAGTGACCCAGGTGTTTTGCCTTAATGCGACCTGTATCTGATGTTTTCATGACAGTCTGAACAGCACGGGTCGGGTTCTTTTCGAATGCGACCCAGGCCACTTGGATATCCAATACGTATCCGATTCAAATGTGACCAAACGTCCAGGACGCATTCATCCGTCACGGATACTCAACAGATGTCTCTATTCTGCGTCCTGAAACGCACGAGCGGAAAGAAAAACAGCAACATGGCAGACTATAATGAGGATTAAGTTGTTAATGTGCTCCAGTTGGACAACAACTTTAAATGTGAAAGCTGTGCTAACCGTTAGCATCCATGTTTACTTCCGTAAACACTGAGAACGCTGACGCTATTGCGCCCTCTACTGCACATGTGGGAGACTTTCAGGTTGTTTTCCCGTTCACAATGGAGGTCGCATTTATTTGGAAGTGTGAACGGCAACGGGAAAAAAAATATCAGATGGATTTACCAAAAAAATTCGGAATTGGGTCACTTCAGGCTGCAGTGTGAACGCAGCCAGAAATCAACACCCCATCTGCGGTCAGCTCCAGGGCCCAGTACCAACGCAACACCCCCCACCCAGTACGTCTCTATTTACAGAGCGCCGCCCCTTTAACCGAGCGCCACCCCTTTAACTGAGCGCCGCCCCTTTAACCGAGCGCCGCCCCTTTAACTGAGCGCCATACCTTTTGATGAGTTTGATGGACTTGAAGGCTTCGTCCATGTCGCCCACGCTCAGGTAGAAGCTGAAGTTCAACATGGCGTCCCGCGTTCCCTTCTCGCACTTCTCCAGGCCCACGAAGTCTCTGAGAGGTCGCCTGGATGCCATGAGGGGGGTCGAAGCAGGAGCCGCTCTGATTGGCTGATCTGGTGGAGACACCTCTGGGTTCTGCTCACCTGGCTGGGATTAGAGGACCAGGTGGCTAGATGAGCTCTTGGAAAGTTACATCAATATTTTCTAAATATAAAATCAGAACATGGAAGGGCTGGACGGTATAGCTAAAAACCAATATAACTGATTCATATCAGTCGACATCAATACACTGCAAAAACAGAAAATCTGAGAGTATTTTTGGTTTAGCTTCTAGTGCAAATTATACACTCAATGTTAGGTTCCGTGTTTCTGTGTGTTTATTTTTGAGTTTCTCTGTGTTCAGTCCTGTGTTCCTGTGAGTCTCTGTCCTGTCCTCCCCGTTGATTGCTCCCCAGGTGTTCCCTTAATTACCCCGTGTGTATTTAAACCCACCTGTTGTCTGTGTTCCTCGTCGGGTCCTTGTCTATTGTCCTTGTCTATTGTTGTTAGTCTACTCACCAGTTGTACTGCTAAGTCCTGGTTTGTGTTCGCTCGCACGTAGTCCTGTCGTTCAGTTGCTACCGGTATTTGGCTGTGTGCCTGTCTCTCTGCCGTGCTGCCTGTTTTGGACTGAGCTTTACTTTCATCATTAAATATCATCACCACCATACCTGGGTCTCGGCGTCTCTCCTCACCACTACAACCACACCTCATGACACTCAAAGTAAGACAAAACTAGCTTACAAGGAACTTCTCAGCAAATACAGGAGCTTGTTTAAAGTCAGTAATTTCTTAATATTGATGAAAAAGTTCTAGTTCCACTGGCAGATGATTTAATTTATAACAAGAGAAAATCTCTCCTTTTTTATTTTTGGTGGGGAACCTTGAAACTGCCTCTGCCCCAGTCACTCAGCAGCTTGTTGCTAGGTAACCGAAGTTGGGGGAGCTTGAAACTGCTTCTTACCCAGCAGCTTGTTGCTAGGCAACCAAAGTGTGAATGAGTTGATTCCACCAACCTAGAATTTTTTATATGTTGGATATTCTACCAGATGTATTATCTACCGATATTGATCATGAGTCTATCACAATTGATTTATTGTCCAGCCCTAAAACATGGGGTAAAAATAATGGGGATCAGGTGGGAGCAAATAACGGGGCAACAACTGAGTCCAGAAGTTTACATACACTCATCATCTGAATGAATCTTTTACCGATTTATCTGAAGTTTCAAGGTGGGAAGACGATACAACAAAAGGGTTTCTGAACACATCTGGATTTATTGTGGATTTTCAGGGTCAAAAATATCCAGCTGAAATCAAATATTTATGAGCGCCAAATAAAAAGACACAGACACGGGTTTTTTTCCCCCCGAAGTCTGAAGTTAAATAAGACCAAATTCTCTTGTTTCAGGTCAGCTAGAATCTCTAAATTATTTTCTATTTGCTAAATACAAGAAAACGTAGCAAGAATATTTTTAAGAGATTTTTGTGTAGCTTTCTTTGGTTTCAGACGTTTGCATTTATTTATTCCAGAAGAAGAAGATTTGGAAGCACTGAGAAAAAAAGTCAAAATTCTGAGAAAAAAAGTCAAAATTCTGAGTAAAAATTACAAATTCTGAGAAAAAAGTACTTTTTTTCCAGCATCTATAATCCTCTTCTGTTATTTATTTATTCACTCCAGACAATAAGAAGTAAAAACAGAAAATAATAATAATAAGACGTGCTGGAGGCTCTAGGTTTTAACTTGACTTTCAGGTGGAAACACTTTGGTCATGGTTTAACTTGAAAAGAGACGCTTCGCCAAACGTCAGCAGGCCTGACTAAATGTTTCAGCCTGTGAGAATCAATCTGATCCTGTGTGAATTTATTCACACAGGATCAATAAAATCATCCATTGCAGGTGTTTGTGATGTATTCAGATTTTAGTGCTGATCTACGGGAACGATGATGAGACACAATCACAGCTGCTGAAAGACAAACACTTACTTCTGGAAGAAACACACCATCTCCCCGAAATAACAGCTGGGGTGTGTTAGAGCACACACACATTTTCACATGAGAATAATCATAAAAAACAGTTAATATGCTCATAATTAAACCCCACAGATTTTGACAGAGTATTAGAGCCAAGAAAAAAAATGTAATCACTGGAACAACATTGTAATAGTGTGAGAAAAAGCATAAAATCATAGTATTACCAGAATAAAGTCATAATAAAATGTGAATAAAGTTATAATATTGCGAGCAAAAAGTTTTACGAGAATAAGTTAGAAATACTAACAGAATAAAGTCATAGTAATACAACTAAACATTGAAACGAGTAATTGTTGGAAATATTATGTTATGATTCTTACATGTGTACAGATTATTGATCCTACCATAGCAGTCTTGTGTTACTATAGATTATTGTGACTTTCATTTAGAAGAGTTGGCCTCAAACTTCAGACTGCTGTGTTGAAGACTCCCTCAGACTGACAACAGCCCTCCGCACTAAGGAGAAATCGCTCCCAAAGGAAAAGACGAGATGACCTGGTGTGTGTAGAACTTGCTGATATCTTGTCTCTTCTGTCTCTCCCTCCCTTCTCTGAAATAAAAGACAAGCTCTACCGGGTCGTTATCAGGACGCGCGGTGGGCAGCTCGCTGGACCGGTCCGCTGCGCCTTGGTAAAAACTCTCATAACTTGTCTGTGGTTCTTTTCACGTAGGTTGTGAAAAAAAAAATATCAGTAATGTTTTGTAAAGTTATACTTTGGTATCAGACTTCACCTTTTCACACATCAGCAGCAGGACTGAAAGGATTCTGCAAACGACTGAATCTATTTCATAGAAATAACCAAACATCAGATCCTCACTCCTCCATAAAACTGATATCTTCTTGTAATTTTACGACTTTCCTCTGGTAATATTGTTTCTTTATTGTGCAAATATTACGACTTTATTCTTGTAATTTAAAAAAAATATAACGGTAACACTTTAATTGAAGGGGTGTGCATAAGACTGACATGACACTGTCATAAACATGAACGAGTCTTTATGAATGTTTATGACTGTTGTCATGAAGTGTCATTCGGTAAATAATGACACTTTTAATGCAAAACTGCTATAAAAGTTGCATTGAAAGTCCATTAAAAGTGCCAACTTTGCATGATTTTGTAAATTATGATAATTTAATGCAAACTTGGCATTTTCAATGGATTTCAACGCGACTTTTAGAGAAACTTTATGTTCATGACAGGTGTTATGTCATGTTTACGGCAGTGGCCCTTCAAATAAAGTGTTACCAATGTATCTAAGTTTGGCCCCAATACAAACATACAACCAGAACATTTCTGAAATTATTTTCACTAGAAGTTGCCCCATAATTCAAATAGAATAACAAAGAGTGACTGAACTCACCTTGCAGGTGAAGTAGTAGTATGGCACATCCAGGGCGAGGAGGGCCTGAAGGCCTGAAGGCCTGGAGAAGCAGTCCTGGAGCAGGAGTCCGTGTTCCTGCGTACAGAAGAGCGTCACCACTGACACGTCCTCCTGAGAGAGAAACCGTCACAGCGTCAGGAATCCTGCCAACAACACCAAAACGGTTACAGACGATCACCGCAGCGCGTCGTCTACCAAATCTGAGAAAGCGTTGGCTGATTTCTCCGAGGCGATCGGCGCGGTCTCGCAGACAAAGAGTCGAGGTTCGCTCTCATCCCAGTACTGGGACACAGGAAAACGGCCACTGATTTCATTTTCCTGAAACTTTTGCCTGAAATGGCAGAAAATATGCGTTAGTGTGTAAGATGGAATAAAATCAATAAGGCAGGGCTGACAAATGTATATAATACTACAGTACTTCTACAAAGTTGAACAATATTTAGAGGTTCCCTGAACAGGTTATTATAGGTCTGTAGTCTACACAAAACATTTTTATTATATTTTTTACACAAAATCATCTTAGATAATGAGATTTCAGTCTGCTCAGTGGAACCATCGAGTTGTTTTACGGCGTCTGTCACTTTAAATCTAAATAAGTTGCTGCTGGCCCCAGCTGAACATTTACTCTCACATGTGAAAATGGCTGCAAACAGATGTGCAATTATTCAATCACACATCTTTGAAAAGCAGCAGTGGAGAATCCTGCATAACCAAGAAGAATGCAGTAAGTGGTTTCTGGATGCTAAGTTAACAACAAAACACTTTGTCTCTTCCAGCAGCCATTGTGCAGCACATACAGTGGGAAAACCAGCTGACCAAACGTGCTGCAGCTCAGCTTGGGTTGCTAGGTAACGGCTCACTAGGTTTTTGAAAAGGTTAGTTTTCCAGACACCAATAAAACGTGACAATTTTTAAGTGGAATGTAACATATTTTAACAGAACATTATTTTAAAAATTGCATACTTTGCAAGCAAAAGACAAAAATTTTACTGTTTAAAAAACATTCTTATTTTTTGTGGAAATGCTTTTCATATATTACATGAAATCAGCTAGTATTTTTTTTATTACGTTTACATTTTAAAAAACACAAAGTCTTCAGCATTTTTTTTAGAAAATTATTAAGAGCCGCAGGTTGCAGAGCCCTAGAGGACCACAAAAGTCGCTACAACGGGCCGGATTTGGCCCGCAGGCCATGAGTTTGATACATGAGCAATAAGAATAATGTCTTTACTTATCGCTTTCATCAGGCACAGAGACGCCAGAGGACGGTCTGCCGGTGAAGAAGTCAAAGTGCGTCACGGTGTCCATCTCAATGTCGTAGAAATATACTTTATGATCGGGTCGTCCGTTAACCTGACGAACAGATCAGATTAAATTCACAACTTAAAAAACAAAGATGATGTTTCTTTGATTTAAAAAGTGTGACTGAATCCCGCCGAGTCACCTGAGAGGTTAGCAGGCTAACTTGGCTGCCGCTGGCGTTGCATTTGATGGACCTCAGGGCGCCGAGGCCGCTGATGTGGTCGGACAGATTCTTAGCGCCGCAGTGAGCTTTGGCGTCTCTGCAAAAGAAAACATCACAAAAACACAAAACAGTGTTCAGGTGCGACGGAGGATTAGGGCCAGCATGAGGAAAAATACATATTACAATAATAAATCCATACGAGAATAAAGTCGGAATATTATGAGTTTATTCTCATATTACGAGAATAAAGTCGTACCTGAATAAACTCATAGTAATAAAGGTATAATGTCACCAGAATAAAGTCACAGTAATGTGAAGATGTTAAGAGAATAATATTCTCGTCATACATCAGGAAAAATCCAAGAAAAAGGTTGTAATATTAAGAAAATACAGCTAGATATAAATAAGATATATTTTGAGAATAAAGTCATAGTACACACAGCAACATCAGATTAGCATAAATAACAGGACACAGCCTGTTGCTGATAATAATCTGATGTTAATAGATTAAGTATTTCTTTATCTGTAAAACAAATACCAAAGTATAACTTCACAAGATGCCCAACATTCCTCATTTTACCACAGTCGTCAGACTGATCTTTGGTTTTGCAGTTCTCATAATATTACGACTTTATTTTGATGCTCTGATACGTTAGTTACCGTCTGGAGAGGTCGTAAACTCTGATGTGCGCCGTGTCTGTTCCTACTGCCAGGTACGACTGGCACACGTCCAGCAGCACGGGGTTCCCCTCGGCCCGGGAGAAGGTCAGCAGCTGCTTCACTGTCCCCTGAGGGAGGAACAACAGCAGAAACGTTTAAACCGGGTCTGAGCTTCAGACGGCAGGATGCGGCTACAGCAGGTAGCAACGTACCTGAGGTGTTCGGATCTGGACTCGGCTTGGTTCCACCGTGTAAAGGTTCTCATCATGAACAGCAACAATGGGGGAATCACAAGGAAAAGATCCTGCAATGGATGGAAGGAAAACAGGTTAAACTCCCTGAATTATTCACATTTTGTCACGTTTCATCGACAAACTTTCATGGATTTTATATTCTACACCAGAAGTCTGCAACCTGTGGAGAATAAAGAGAATAGAATAAAGTCAGATTATGAGAATAAAATCACACAATAAAGTCAAAATAATACAGAATAAAGTCATAGTATTACGAGAATAAAGTAAAAAAAAAGTATGACAGTAAAGTAGTTATATTATGACATTATTCTCATATTATTTCGACTTTATTCTTGTACCATTTTATTCTCAGAATATTATGACATTATTCTTATTTAATTTTTTGTTTTCTTAGCATGACCCTTACGCTCTGTCGTAATTTCACAAGTGTTCAGGGAGTTTACAGTGACGTACTTTTGACGCTTTGAACGTGACGTCACGCTTCCCAGAACCACTCCGCCGTGACGGAAGTATAAACAACCTTTGCACTCCTGTCACAAAACATGTATCTGGACCCTGATGTCGCTTTTATTCAGCTGATTTCGCTTTAAAAATGTTTACAGGACGCTGCGCGGTCGGCTGCAGGATACAAGCCGTCAACCACAACGGCTGGCAGCCCTCGGTGAAATAACAAAGAAATAAGATTAATGTTCATATACTTTATAACCAATTATGACTACAAATATGCAGTCAAATATCGCATTATGGGGAAGGTACGCGTCTGACCATTGGTAACCATGGAGACAGTGCCGCACCGTCATGTAGCCTAGCATGTATGGGGAAAACTGGTTAGCATCTCGTCTTTTGGACGTTGTTAATGCTGCTGCGGTGTAACGGGAAGCGCTGTTTATGACATAAGGACATAAAAATTCAGTGATCTGATCAACACGTCAGGAGGGAGGCGGTACGGGTCGGTTTCTAAGCTAGCTGTTTCCAACTTTTGTAAATCCCGCCGTCTATGAACTTCAACCAGGTGAGTTACGTTCACAGCCAAATTAACTCGACGAATAAAAGAAAGCCATGAATAAGCTGGCAAAAACTATTTGGGAAAACTATTTCCGTCGCTCTGTCCTTCACTTCCAACGTCCGTCATGGCGCCTGGAACGATTTAGTGACGTAGTTGCAAAGGGGAATACCTGTAACATGCAGAGCCGTGCCTGAGAGCTCATAGACAGAGATGTGTTTCCCGTTCCAGACCGTCACAGAGTCCTGTTGGAGGAACAGGGAAGTAAGTTTCATTTCTGTCAGAGCAGAACTAAGCAGAGTCCAGCTGTTTTGTTTGGTTTCACCTTGCTAAGGCACACTCCTCTGACATGCATGTCACACTGCAGAGGAAGCGTCTCTCCGCTGCTGAAGTTCGTGATGCTGAGCTGAGTCGGGGCGAGCTGCACTGCTGCCACCTGCTGGCCGAAGTGCGCCGACATCACATGCTCACTGAGGATCAGAACCGTTCTGGAGTTGTTGGCGGCCAGCAGGTTCTGATTGGAGCCCCACTGACGTCACACACACACACACGCGATGAGGCTTGATATAAAACAGTTTGTTTAAATGATGAGCTCAGACTGACGGTACCTGCAGCTGGGTGACGTTTCCGTGGATCTCAGTGGGAGTCTGCAGCTTCCACAGGGCTTTAGCGTCGGCTCTGTAGCTGCTGCTGCTGCTCATCGGCTGTGTCGCCGTCTTCCACATCGCTATGCGGCCTTTGGAGGTTCCAGCTGCCAGGATCTCTGCATAGTTCACATTTTTATTAAAGAAAGCAGATTATTCAGAGCTGCAGTAAGCAAGCTGAAATAATGACGGGGAGGAGGGAGCAGTTTTTATTGGTTGCGTCCGATTTCCTTAAGATCAGCCGATACTTACATCTCAAACCGATCTTATCTACCGCCACTCAACCCTGAAAATCAGCCACTGACAGACAGACCGGCCCACCGGGTCGGGTCTGCATGTTTCCAGTTAACAACAGTCACCCCACTGTTACCAGGGATTGAGTGACGAAGTTACAAAGGGTCAATATCTCGCTAAAAGGTTACTTATAAGAAAATTTATTTCAAGCGTACTGAGACATTTGCAGTAGAAACTAGATAAAAATACTCAGTAAGATTTAGTATTTTTGCAGTGTAGGTGTTGCTGGCAGCGGCTGGATGGATAAAGAATGTATTTTCCAGATTTTCTTTTCTTTTTAAATATTCTGAGCCTGTAAATGAATTTACCTTTGGCTGCGCAGTAGGAAACACAGTTGATCATCTCTCCCTTCTTAAAACCCAGAGTTTCGTCCAGAGATAGAACGTAGTTCTCATCTCTCTCCAGGTCCCAAATTCTGACACGTTTAAAGGAAAATAAGCCAACAGATTAAAATCACTGGTTTATGTAGGTCTGTAGGGGAGCGGCAGGTAGAAACTGACTTGACGACCGGTTCTCCTGTCGCTGTGATCAGGAGGCTGTTCTCAGTCCAGCTGATGTCGACGTTCTGCCCGGCTGTGCTGCTCAACTTCACCTGCAGGCAGAAACCAAACAGAGTAAGAGCAGCACAACGCCAGCGTGTTTTTACTCAACTAAAAGTAAAAAGAAATGACTGATTCAGGACTAAAAAAGGTACTTCAGTTTACTCCAGTACTGAATTACTGATCAAATTATCAATCATTTAATATTTAAAAATTACATCTTCAGACAGAGCAAAATATAAAGTTAAATGGAAATGTTGGTATTTTAAGGAAATATATGACAATAATTCATATAAGCAACAAAAAAATAAAATCAGGCAAAGTAAAATTCTTCCAAATCAGTTTCTTTTAATAAAAAATGTATGAAACTTTAACTGAAACTTGAGGTCTGAGTCTGGTGGATTTTTAGTTAAAACATGTTTGTTGTTCATTCAGTGGGTAGAAAATGCAGAAATTTTACTCAAGTAGGAGTAAAAATACTTCATAATGAAATGACTCAAGTAAAAGTAAAAAGTACAGCGTAGTGAAAATACTTTTAAACGTACGTTTTACAAGTAAATGTAACTGGTTAGTACCCAACTCTGCCTGTTACATTAAACATAACCTGGTTATTTGTTTATTAAAATGAAGATGAGACATTTACTGCAGCAGTCAGATGTCTAACTCTAGGAAGCTACGGTCAAAGCGGACCTTCATGGACTCGTGAGCGCCCCCTTCTGGTCTCAGTGTGTACTGCGACAGCATCAGGGTGTCCGTGACGACCACCAGCACGCCTCTCTTGTCCAGGTAGAAGAGCTTCCTGATGGAGCCGTCCTCGCTCAGCAGCGGGCTCGTTCTGCCCTGTTCGTCCACGGCATGGACCTTTCCTGCAGGTCATCACATGTCGGCTTCAAACAGGTTTAAACGGAAAACACAGGGGGTGCCAAAAGTTGATTAAAAAAAGATTGAATCCCTTACATTTTTTCATTTTTGTTTTCTGTTATTCAATCATTAAAACCCCCCAAACAACTATAAGTTAATATAACTGATTTAACTATTATTTTTGTTGCCCATTTTCTGATTGGCTGCCAGTTAAACTCATCAAGTTTCTTTGTTGGTCAAGTTAGCGTAGCGAGCTAGAAATGGAAAAGTTTCTGACAAAAGGAGACCAAAGGAGTCAAACTCTGCTGTGATAAACCATAAGAACTAAAGGAATCAAATTAAATTTGATGTGGTTATTATAAAATAATATTTTCAAGTAAGAGGATTGTGGTAAAAAAAAATTTGATTATCTGGTAATAAAGTCTGGAGAAACTTATCACAGTATAAGTTTTTCATATCAGTCGATGTCGATAATTATTGATAAGTTTTCTGTTTTAAATATCTGAACTACCGTCAGACTGGTGGTGTGACCTTACATGTTTCATCCAGTTTCCCTCCATGTTGTTTTTTACTTTGTAGCAGTTATGAGGCAAAGTGGGGAAACTTGAAACTGCTTCTTAGCCAGCAGGTCGTTGCTAGGCAACTGAAGTTTGGGGGAGCTTGAAACTGCTTCTTACCCAGCAGGTCGTTGCTAGGCAACCAGAGAGCTGAGTTAGTAGATTCCACCAACTTAGAATATTCTTTATATTTAATATTTTATCAGATGTATTGCCTATTGATATTGATCACATATTTATACTGTTATTGATTTATTGTCCAGACCTTTAATAAATCATAATATATGACAATAAAATTCTCTGTCACAGAATTCTTGATAATCTAAAATCATAAAAAAATGAGGCAACATTTATGCTAAATGGATAAAATAATTCCTGATTAGTAAATAAAACCTTCTAGTAGTGGATCTTTATAACATAGTTTGTAGCTTTGTGTGTGGGTTTGTAAAGAGGGGGTTCCCGGGCCCTTGGGGGCCATGTCACGGAAACGTTTGGACCGTCTTACCGTCGGCGGTGCTGACGTAGAAGCCCAGTCCCTCCTGAGGGCCCATCTTCAGAGGCGCCCCCTTCCAGCTGAACATGTCCAGAGCCGATTCGTCTCCGCTCACCGACGCCCGCGCCAACATCGCCACGTCGCTATGGAAACAACACGGATGAGACCAGGTGTGAAAACAGGCTCATTTCCACCTGAAACGTTCCTCTTATTGTCTTTAGATTTTAATGTGGTTTGCTTTAAAGGTCAAAATATTCAAACACTGCCTTTGAACTTTTCTGTCTCTCTTATCCTAATAATAATAAAAATCTAAATATTTATCTATAAATCACTTTACATGTAAATTTTAAAGCACTAGGGTCTCTTTCAGTTAGCTCCTCTGCTGCTGCTTCTTTAATCTGAACTAAAAAGTAATGATAATGGATTTAAAATGAAGTATTAAAGAATAACTTATAAATTACAACTGTTCCTGTGGATCTACATTTTTGATTGTGTGAAGAAAGATTCTGGTTTTTCTGTTTTCTCCTTTCACAATCAACATATAATGCATCTTCAAATAAAAACCAAAACGATAATAATGTTAGAAAGTGTCTTTGAAAACTCTTCCTACATAAATGAAATGGATTATTAAAGCTTAAAAATAAGTTTTTTATAAAGCAAAATCGGGGCTATAAACTTTGTTAAAGAGAAAAAAAATGAAAAGAAAAAGTCAAACTTCTCAAAATTACTTTTCAAATTAAAGTTTTTTTAGTTTCAAAGTAAATACCCAATTTAGCTCCACATTTTTTCCATCTTATCTTCCCCAAACAGATTGGAATTGATCATGAGAATGAAAGTTATTGATCTCATTTTAATTGATTAATTGCGACAGATTCATCTATAAATCTGTGAGCTACTTACACCCCAGGAGAGGCAGGCTTGAAAATGCAGCAGGTTAAAGGTTTGTTGTAGTCGTGCTTGACGAGGTGATTTCCTAAAAGTCGCCCTCTGGCATCTAATTTCCACACGGCCAGAGCTCCGTTCTGCCAAAACACAACGATTATTAAATTCAGAATAAAATCAGCGTTTCTGTTTTATTGACGTCATGGAGCAGCGAACCTGATCTCCGGTCACCAAGCGGCTTCCGGAGCCGCTCCACTCCAGCAGCGTGATGCGGGCCGTGTGGACGGCCGGCAGCACGGTCTGATCTCCGGACGGATGCGTGAGCAGCACCACCTCCCCGCTCTCCCAGCCCAGAACCAGAACCGGCTTTACGGGATGCCAGCGCAGCGCGGCGGCCGGCTGGGCCCGGTCCACATGGCAGCTCTTCACACACTCACCCTGAGTTTGGACAGGACCACAAAGAAACATCAGAACTGATGTTATCAGTGCAGATTCCATTATCAATATACAGTAAACTAATTAGAAATATGCACCATGTTATATTCGATTCAAACTAACTTAAAACTGGATTAAAAATAAGAATCTCGCTGTGAAATGAACATTTTAAATGTTTTGACAGTTTTTGCGAAGGAGTTTTTAATATAATAAATTAGCCTCGTATGAAAATACATCCTAATTTATTGAATATGACTGTAAATGTTAATGAGATGGAGAAAACTCAGACAGCACAGCAGTAATGTAACAACCAGGTTATGGATTATTTAACAGAAAACCAATAAAAATCATAAAAACCTACAAAACAAATGGCAACAACCACATTTACACGTTCTTTCTAGATAATATATCTTAAATATTCCTCCGTAACTAATAATACACTTAACAAAAGTATAACAAATTAGTATAACTACTATTAACAGCTGAATATATATATATACATATACAAAAAAAACAAAACCATAGTAAATTTATTTATTTTTTTAAGTTGGTAAATAAAGAGCAAATGTTTCCAAACCCACAGGATTCGTTGATCATAATGGGAGGAATAAACAGTTAAGGACCTGATGGTAAATTAATTAATTCCCATGTTAAGGAGGGGGAACAGATTGGTTCAAACAGAAACATTTGTTCCTCTCCCATAATGTTGGAAATAAAGGGATTTCATCTTGGATATTTCTTAAAATACAAACAGTTCAATACGTCACGCAAACAAAACGGGAACCGATGACAGGAATCGTTTTTAACAGAGCTGAAGTAACGCTACAGCTAATCCACCCGACAGTCTGATCCCAGTTTACCTGCTGCAGATAAAGATCCACGCTGCCACCGGAAGCAGGGCTGCTCGACGCCACAGCCAGGATGGGGAGCGTGGCGTGCCAGGTCAGGTGAGACGGCAGATTGCTTCTGTCAGGGGTTTCGATGCGGTGGTCAAAATACACCGCCATGATCCCTCAGTAAGGCTGGATGGCAGAGATGGAGTTAGGAACATAATACCAAACTATGCATATGTGTGATGATTTATTTAAACTTACATTAAATCAGACAGAACTTTAGTCTTTATTCTAGAATAATCAGTAATCATGTTCTAGATATCTTTCTCACAGGTCTGATCTGGTAAAACAAACTTCCCTGGACAATAAATTGTCTCAGAAATTATTGCGATAAACAATAATATTGTTGTTTACCTGTATCTATATATTTTTAAGTAATATATAGGTAAAGGCATAATAATGCAAGTTTGCCCTCAAATAAACTTTTAAATTGTAAAGAACATTTTAAATATCCAAAATAAAACACAATCAAAAACAATACATAATAAAAACATAAAAACAATTGAAACCATCAATAAAATGGATTATGATTTCTATGTAAACAAAATTTCCCTTAAAAATATTAATTATCAGAATGTAAATGATCAAGCTTATTTTATTATTTACTTATTAGACAGGTTTAGTCATCCAGCCTGTTTTATTGATATTTGTACAGATATTTAATTTATTTGTTTACCGTCTTGCTGATGTTGTTCTTTGACTGTCTCTGTGTTGTTTATTTTCTTTCCCACCTTACTGCAAGGAAAATTTTTAAGGGCACAATAATAAAATAATACAGATACAGATCACTTCATTACTTGGGGTTATTATAGGTTGTGAATAGGAAGTTGATTCTTAAGAATCATTTAATTACAATGCTTAGTTTTTCAATTTTTGCAAAAAATCTTGTTTTCATTTATTCTTTTTAAAATTATCCCACTCTCCTGCACATTTCTTTTCATCAGATTTGCTAGTTTAATAACTGTACTGTACTATTTGTCTCCCATTGTTTATTTTTATGTTATGACGCTACAGGTTTACATTTGCCTGTCACTTGGCTTCTGGTACAACCGAATTTCCTCATATTAAATGACATTTCCATTCTATTTTGGCTTACCTTCTGGGTAATTTTACTCTAAGGTTGCATTAACAACGTATATGAACACAGGCAGATTTAAATGAGATCGATTACGGTCTCTAATACGTAACAGTCAGCTATCAAAAACGCCAGAGAGGTTATGTGTAAAAAAAAGACAAACCTCACAGCATCAATTAGCTGTTAGCATTAGCTTAGCTAGCAAAGTTAGCGCCTGTAGTGTCTTCCTCGCTGAAACACAAAAAAACAAAACCTACGAAACCTATTTGGCAATGAAGACTTACTTTACTGTCTCTCCTTTTCAGTTAGCGACACTTCGCTTTGACACAACGGACGGAGCGCGTCATATGGACCGTTACTTCAAGCGGTGTTGTCTACTGGAAAAGCGTCTTTCTCAGTTGCCCATGACAACCTGAGAGGCTACGTAAGGAGGCGTAGCGACGGAAAACAGCGAACGGAGCCGAGTCCGGACCGAAGATGGAACATTGATGGCGAGCGGAAGAAGAAGCCTGTACGAAAACCCATAAGATCACAAACTGCGCTATTTTAACATTTTGTTGTTGTTCCAATTATTTAGTAGAATATGTTGAAACAGTACTTTTATTATGATGATGTACAAAAATTAGCTTAAGCCTCCAATCACAAATTTTCTAGCTTTTTGTGCTGTTAGCAGATTTTCCTGAGTATTCTGATTAGTTATGCACCAATTTCTTTAAGAGTATTGTTTTTGTGTCCCTTTATAAGTGTTTGATCATTTACAGCTCTATAAACCCATTCTTATTGCTCATGGTGATATACAAGTGTTATTTATTAATAATAGTTTTAGAGTACTTCAAATGTACTCAAGCCAACATTAAGCTTGTTCTAAAATGGTTGGTGGAAGTTTCCATAATTCTGTTCCACAAAAGGGTAAAATATGGTTTAAAAAGTGCAATATTTTAAATAAAAAGGGAAAATTTCATTGGTATCGTAGATTTTTCAGCTGGTGAAACATTTGTGTTGATTCACACCAAACCCAATATGAGCGTTTAGTTCCTTCAATCTTAGCTTCATATTTACTCAAACAACAGATTGAGTAAATATTTTTCATTTTATTTCAGTAAAATTCATGATATCAAAATAAAATTAATGAATTTCCCTTAAAATATTTTAATCATCTTTACCAGGCTTGCCAAGCAACACATATTTATAAACTCATCAAATTCATTAGTTTACATGAGAGAGAGAAAAAAAAATCAACAAAAAAATAAAGATGTCTCAAACAAAAAGCATTTTAATTGGAGAATATTCCAGCTTGTACAGATGACTGTCACGACCGGCTGTAGTAGTACTTCCATCACTTCCAAAAGCTTTTCTGTACAGAAATATTCACAGGATGTCCTTTGGAAACAAACTGCTGCTTGTACCGGAAAGATGCTGGTCAAAAGGAAGTTATGTTTTAATCCTGATATTCAGAACTAAAACAGAAAGACAAGCAGGAATTCCTTTTAGGAACCGACTTGTACACTGCAAAAACACAAAATCTCACCAAGTAATTTTGTCTAGATTTAGTGCAAATATCTTATTACACTACAAATAAGACAAAACAAACTTACAAGTAACTTTTAAAGTGACATAAGAACTTAGTTTTAAGATCCTTAATATTGCTTAAAAAAAATAACTAGTTCCACTGGCAGGTTATTTTACTTATAAAATGGAAAAATGTCTTATTAAAAGTGAAATAATCTGCCAGTGGAACTAGAACTAAGTTGCTAGGTGACAGGCTGAGCTCGGCTGAGGATGCTAGGTGACAGGCTGGGCTCGGCTGAGGATGCTAGGTGACAGGCTGAGCTTGGCTGAGGATGCTAGGTAACAGGGTGGGCTCAGCTGAGGTTGCTAGGTAACAGGGTGGGCTCGGCTGAGGTTGCTAGGTAACAGGGTGGGCTCAGCTGAGGTTGCTAGGTGACAGGCTGAGCTCAGCTGAGGTTGCTAGGTGACAGGCTGAGCTTGGCTGAGGTTGCTAGGCAATGGAGCCAATGGAACTCATACTTTTTCTTCAATATTGTGTGATTATTGACTAAACAAGCTCCTACATCGTGATAAGAAAGTGATTTGTAAGTTAGTTTTGTTGGTAATATTTTGTATTTTTGCAGTGAATGCCATCACGTTGGTCACCAGTCCACTTCCTGTGTCCAGCTGAATGTTCCAGGAAGTGTAAAAAAAGCAAAGCACCTGCGATACTAAATGCAGGGTTTAAAGGACGTCCTGATCCCTATGATTGGAAAACATCCAGAAAACATCTGCAGCGTCATCTCCACCAGACAATCATCAGAACCTCTCCTCATGCAGATGCTGAACTGGTCACGACTCCAGGCTGAGGCCATTCGGGTTCTGCAGCTGCTTCTTGAGGTTCTGATCCAGCAGAACCAGGCTTTGCACAGCTAAATTACGGCAGTCAGCGTCCGGGTCCACTTCAGCCACATCTGTGGACAGACAACACAACCAGAACCAGAACCGGTTTTTAGAAAGGGGAAAATAAACATTGTTCTAGTCGATTCTGTCTTTCAGTCTCAGTTCAATCTGAAACTGATTTTCTGCTCCAGGCAAAAAGAAAAAAGAAATAAAAACGGAGTGAATCGCATCACAGGACATCCTGGTTCCTGATCTCCTTCCCAGAAATCTGTGTGTGTGTGTGTGTGTGTGTGTGTGTGTGTGATGGGAGACTGCTGACAGAAATACAGTCTGCAGGTGGAGATGTGAACTTTAGGTCAGAAATATCCCATCATGCTTCGTTCAGCGTCAGATTTCCATGTCATGAAAATTTGGTTTCAGTTTCACGGAGAAACTTGAGACTTTTTCCGTTTTTAGTTTTTTATGTTGATTTTAAAATATAAAAACGCAAAAGTTCAGCATGAATCTGTGGCAAAAGGAAGGAAAGATGAAGAAAATTAGAGAAAAAGGGAATAAAGAGACAGAATTAAATAAAGTAAGGAAAGAAGGAATGAAAGAGGACACAAGGCATTAAAGCAGGGGTCCCCAAACTACGGCCCGCGGGCCGGATCCGGCCCGCCACGTCATTTGGTCCTGCCCCCTGAACAAAGCCGGATCCGGCCCGCCTGCTCATACCAGAGAGCATTCAGTGTTTTTTTTCATATGTTGTATTTTCTGGTTTATATGTGGATTTTTCTTCAACCACCAGGGGGCTTTTGAGCAAATGTGAAACTTACTTTCCCTCAATGGAATATATAGTCGTCAGTCACCGTTTCACTCACGGTTTTTTCCATTCTGGGTAAAAATCTATCCAAAAGTGTCGTCGTCTCTCCCCCACACCCCCCGTCGACAAGAATTTCTTTGTTTTTTTTTACTGCAAAAACTAAGACCACAGAAAGGAACAGCTATGTGGCCCTCGCAGGAAAAAGTTTGGGGACCCCTGCATTAAAGGAAGGAATTAAACAAGGAAAGGAAAGAAGGAAGGAAAGGAAAGGAAAGGAAAGACAACATTCCTGAATCGTTGAAACCCAGAATGCTCTGATCTAGTCTAGTGTTTTATTGATCACATTTTCTTCTGTTATTTTTATTTTTTACCTGCCAGCCAGGTTCTTGTTTCCAGCAGCTGCTGGCTGAGGTCCATCATCAGAGCCTGACTGGGCATGCTCAGAAACACGGAGCAGACGGCGAAGAGGACGCCTCGCCTCACCGTCCTTCAGTGACACCAAACCAACAGAAACCATGAGGAACCCAGTTAGAAACCAACAAAAACCATTAAACCATTAGAAACCAATAAAAACTCCAGATTTTCCAGTCAGCCTGAGTCAGACGTACTGGTCAGCGTGGTACCGAACGGCCCACACAAAGTCCAACAACGCAGCTCCCATCTGTGCAGCTATCTGGGAATAAACAGCATGAGGATCAGCAGCAAACAGGCTAAACGGCTAGCATAGCTCAGTCAGATTAGCAGCTAAAGTCTGGATTAACAGAAATGTTAATATAATATAATATAATACCGGTGCGTTCACGGCCAAGTGCATGAAGAGGCCCAGCGTGTGGATCAACCTGCCCAGAACCAGGTGGTCACTGCCCAGCAGGTCAAAGGTCACCTCAGGCCTGCCAGAAAGGAGTTTTTCTTTAACCCATCAGTTAAAACTATTCAAATCTTCAGAGTGTCACTAAAATACTAACTTGTCGTAATTTCTGAGGAGAGGAAAGAAGAAGTATCCAGCAACAGGAGCGTAGCGGTTTGGAGCGGCTCCAGCTCCCGGCTGGGCGGAGCCCTGCAGGAACATCGACATGAAGCAACACAGGCAGCTGGACGGTCGTCTTATTTAACGCCTGACTTAAAGAATGGGACGATTTCTACAGAGGGAAACGTCTAAAAGTCACAGGAAACATGGTTTAAACCAGTCACAGTGGATTTAACAGCGTGGTATTCCTTTACTAAAACTCCTGTTACCTGGCTTTAGTTTACTTCAGCTGAATCAATATTCATATTTTTAAAGGTTTATATGACGTATCAAGTAAAAATATTCTGTCAAGAGACAAAAAAAAAAACCCAGAAGATTTTGTGTTTCTTCTTCATTTTCTCTGAAACTTCAGCAGCTGCTGTGATGTTTTCACTTCTGATGGATCCTAAAAAGGTTTCGCTTTATTTTGATATTTAAGTGCGAGTAAAAAAACAAAATTAGATTTGGGTATGTTATTTTAAACATCTACTTAAGTATTTTTATTAAATTCCCTTTTTGTTTTTTACTTCTATTTGAGTTTCTGCTGCCTCTAAAAACAAAACAAACAGCCATTTTCTGCAAATGAGTTCATGTTTTTTTGGTGTCCGGAAAATTCTGTTCCAAAACCACATTCTAGGCCAGTGAGCCGTTACCTAGCAACAGAGCCCAGTCCCGTTGCCTAGCAACGCACACAGAGCCCAGCCCCGTTGCCTAGCAACGCACACAGAGCCCAGCCCCGTTGCCTAGCAACCCAAGCCAGTCAGAACTTGCACCTCTAAAGATTTAGCAGTAATATTTCTGGTCGTTAAATGACTATTTAAAACGTTTAGCGAGGCGCTAAGACGAGCAGCAACCTTTGAGATGCGTTTGGTTTTATTCTGGATCCTCTTCTCCACTTCCTGTCTCCAGCTGGCGGCGCTGTTGCTCTGGTAAGGCGTCAGCTCCGAGGCAGCTGCGATATCTTTATCGGCGGCTGGTTTGGAAAGCTCCTGAGCCGCCAAGGCGAGGACCTGCAGAGCCCAAACATGATCAGATTTATAAAGACTTTAAAGATTTAAAAGTGGCTAAAGCTGCTGGTTTCACCTCTAAGATGTCCAGTCGCTGCCGCAGGCTGTAGTTCAGGGAGTAAAACTCTGTCGTCAAGTACTGAGTGACCTGAGACAGACACAGACGGATGGATTTACGATGCGTAATGCGATCAGGCTGGACGAAGAGAATGAATCAAAGTCGTACAGGAACAGAGTCGACGGCGGCCAGAGCCACCATGGCCGCCTGCCGGAGGACCAGGAAGCCGCTAATGCCGAATCTGTCCTCCATGTGAAGAAGCACTTTGGTCATCTGGACACTGATCTGAAAAACAACAAAAAAATAACAAAAAAATAAACAACCCGGAGTCAAAAATGTCTAAAATATTGTGACAGGCCTGAGTTTAGTTTATTCATGCAAACCAGCAAATCTGAGACAGAGCAGGTGTCAAATAATGTCAAACAAGATGTTTGTAAACTATCTCTGGACTCTGGCTGCCGTGGATGTTTTCATTCTTTTGTTCAAATGAACAGATGAAATAAAAGAACAAAAACAAACAAGTAATAAAAAAGAAATAGCAAACCCAACATAAATATTCCTTCTGCTCTCACCTCCTTCGCTGCAAAGACGTTCCTCCTCACCAAACTCTCCGCCGCTCTCAGACTGAGTTCGACTCGCAGCGAGTCGTCAGAGGAAATCAGAGCTGAGCAACAGAACCAGAACATTAGACACGGGTTTCTATTTCTGAACCGAACAGAAAGAACCCAACGGAGAGAACCGAACAGAGAGAACTGAACAGAAAGAACTGAACAGAGAGAACGGGACAGAGAGAACTGAACAGAGAGAACTGAACAGAAAGAACCGAACAGAGAGAACTAAACAGAGAGAACTGAACAGAAAGAACTGAACAGAAAGAACCGAACAGAGAGAACTGAACAGAGAGAACTGAACAGAAAGAACTGGACAGAAAGAACCGAACAGAGAGAACTGAACAGAGAGAACTGAACAGAAAGAACCGAACAGAGAGAACTAAAATGGTAGAACTGAACAGAGGGAACTAA